GCAAAAGAAAATTACTAAAATTAAAAATGGCGGATGATGACTATCCAATCGAATTTTTAAATGGTCCATTAAATCCCACAGGTATTGATAGTGAACGCTATTTTGTACTTTTATCGATGACAGTTAAAGTTTTTTGCATTAAATACAAAAGTGAAGTGTTGGAATGTTTCTTGGAATACATGAATTTTGTTGAAAATGCAACTGGAAAAAGAATAAAAGAGCTGCGATGCGATAATGGAAGAGAATACATCAATAAAGATGTGTACACATTGGGTAAAGAAAAAGGGATATACATAAATCCATGTCCACCATATATACATGAAATAAACGGAGTAGCTGAAAGATTTAATAGATCAGTAATGAACAGAGCTAGATGTTTATTATCAGAAGCAAAAACTGATATAATATAATTAATATAATATAAATGAATACTGTGTAGAGACAGCAGTATATATAGGAAATAGATTGTTAACGAATACAGCGATTAAAAATACACCATATGAAATATTTACTGAAAGAAGACCAGATTTGTCAAACATGAGAATCATTGGAAGTAAAGTATTTGTGACAATTCCTGAACAAAGGCGAAATTCGAAATGTAATCCAAAGGCAGTAAAAGGTATTCTAGTTGGTTATACAGATACAGGATACAAGATCTTAGTACAAAATAGAATAGTTACAAGCAGGCACGTACGATTTGTGGACAAAACAGCTAGATTTATCAAATACAACAGTGAAGATGAAGATAAAAGAGAATTTGATGAGAATTTTACTGAACCAGCTCAAGAGACGGAGACTACTAATATAAGAGAGATAGACAATGGGAGAAATAATGAAAACGAAAATGAACAGGAAATAATTGTATATGGAAGACCCCAAAGAACCGAAAAGATGCCCGACAGATATAAAGACTACGTTGTTATTGAATATGTGTAATGCAAATGTCCCTAGAAACTATCTTTTGTTTTTATGACCTCCACATCACAATCACTTCAATAACTATTCCGCTCGTGGATTTTCTGTCCTGTGTATCAGCTGCCCAGTCAGCATCTACATATGCATTCATTACTTCATCAAAAGTTGTTTCATAAACTAATTTTAGGTTTCTTGTGTGATATAAGTATTACAGTACTCGCAAAGAATATTTATAAAGAGTTTCGTCATAACTCTTTTAAAATCTGCTTAAATAGTTTACTGAGTAAGCTACATCTGGTCGTGTTCCAATTGCCACATACAAAAGCGCTCCAATTAAATTTCTATATTGATATTTTTCATTTACTCTTGCTGCACAAAAGAAAATTATTATAATTAAAAATGGCGGATGATGACAATCCAATCGAATTTTTAATGTAAAGTCTATGTTGTTTATGTGAATATGTGTAATGCAAATGTCCCCGAAAACTATGAAGAGGCGATAACTACACTCGCGAGCAACCAAACCGACTCAGACCCTACACCTGCATATAAAGTAGTTTTTATCAAAAAGTACCCAGTCAATTAATAAAAATGTCTTATTTTCTGATAGCCTGAAACTTTAACTTTAAGATGGTCTCATTAGCATAAAAATCGATTGCGTGGTTTTTGAAATAATGGTAATAGAGTTAACAATTAGGGAAAATAGGAATTTAGAAAAATAATTTATGGAGATTGTTATTTAAATTAAAACAAAAAAAAAGTAAAATAATAATAATAAATTTATTTAATTAATATTTGGTGTTACCCCCTCTAGCCCTAGTAACAGCTTGTAGTCGATTTTTCATTGACCTGATTAACTTTTTAACAACTTCTTGAGGAATTCCGTCCCATTCTCTAACAACGCCGTCTTGAGCTCATTGATATTTGAAGGTGCCGGATTTCTGGCTCGGACCCTTCGTTTGAGCTCGTCCCATCAATGTTTGATGGGATTCATGTCTGGACTAAGCGCTGGCCAGTCCATGGTCTGTATACGGACTTCTTCCAGAAACCGCTTAGTTATACGCGAAGTGTGACACCGGGCATTATCGTGCATCAATAAGAAGTTATCGCCGACAAACCCCGCGTACGGAACAACATGTTCTAGGAGTATATCGGTAATATACCGATCGGCTGTCAATCCTCCTCCTCGGTCCCCCCAGGCACGAAAACGAGTTCGGTTTTCTCGTCTAAAGAAATTCCAGCCCACATCATACAAGAGCCGCCGCCATATGCAACAGTTTCAGCGAAACAGCACTGCGAAAATCGTTCACCTGGGCGCCTATACACCCGACCTCTTCTATCACTGCCATGCAGACACATTCTGCACTCGTCAGTAAATAAGACAGCCCGCCATTGCTCGTGGTTCCAATTGAGGTGCTCTCTAGCAAATTGCAGGCGCGCTTGTCGATGGCTTGTCGTCAATTTCGGACCAGTTGCAGGACGTTTTGGTGTAAAGTTGCCTTCCCTCAGGCGTCTTCGAACTGTCCACTCGCTTACAGCCACTCCTCGAACACGTCTTAGCTCTTGCTGTACGTCGACACCAGTCAGGTGGCGATTTCGTTTAGATGTAGAGACTATGAACCGATCGTCGATTTCAGTTGTGCGCCTGTGACGGCTGGTTCTCGGCCTCCGGTCGAATACACCAGTCTCTAGAAATCTTCTGTATACCCTTGATACAGCAGATTGGCTTAGGTGCAGTGGAGCAGCGACAGATCGCTGACTAAGTCCCTGTTGCAAAAGAGCAACAACTTGAACGGCTTCTTCCGGTGTTGTATCCATGGTTTTGTCAAAATAGTGATGGCGATTCACGGAGATGCGTTCAGGTCAACTTCTGGAAAGCGGCTGTAGGCATAAGCCGCGTGCGGGAGGTTTTATAGGGTTAGTTGGTCGCCCAACTCGTACTGGGTACCGCGAGTAAATTTCCCTGTACTGCCTATTTTATTTAATTTTTTTTAAACTACTGAATCGATATTGATGTTAATGGTACATTTTTAAAGCTGAAGTTTCAAGCATTTTAAACATATAACGTTTTTATAATTCGGTTGTAAACTTTTTGATAAAACCTACTCTGAATGCGCGCTTAGACATTGAGTCGGTTTGGTTGCTCGCGAGTGTAGTTCCGAAACAGTTAAATGGCAAAAGGCTATGCAGTCAAAGATAAACAGATTGGAAAGAAATAGAACTTGGGAGATGGTAGATGAGCCAACAGATAGAAATATTATTAAAGTCAAAAGGATTTATACAATTAAATCAAGTGATATATATAAAGCGAGAGTTGTGGCTACGGGTTTTCAACAGATATATGAAAAAAATGAAGAAATATATTCACCAGTAGCTGGAATAACCACTTTAAAACTATTATCATTGACTGCTTGTGTACGTGGGTGGTATATTGAGCGTGGAAACTGCTTTCTTAAATGGAGCCGTAAAATCAGAAGTTTACATAATATCCACCAGACGGTTATGACATTCAACAAAATAAAGTTTGTTTATTAAAAAGGGCACTCTATGGACTGAGAGAAAGCCCACGATATTGGTATGACTGTTTTCATGACATTTTTTGCAGTATAACTTTCAAAAGATCTGCGTATGACTACTGTCTACAAGATGTATAAATGGTGAGAAAATTTATATAATTTTATACATAGATGATTTGTTAATTTTTGGCGAAGACAAAACGAGTATTACGAAAGTTAACAAATTGTTAAGCGATCGGCTTCGTATGAAGGTTTTAGGATGTATAAAACAGTATTTAAGTATCAAGGTTGATTACAAACCTAAAGAAAAGAAAGTGTATGTATTTAAGCCAAGATAAATACATTGAGAGTTTAGCTGAGAAGTGCAAAATTACTGATTCAAAACCAATTAATACACCTATGGAAATAAATTTAAAATTGGAGCCAGCACGAACATTGGAACAAGAAATAAATGAAAAATGTCAATATATAAATTTAATTGGAGCGCTTTTGTATGTGGCAATTGGAACACGACCACATATAGTTTACTCAGTAAACTAAGGAGATTTCAAAACAGTTATGAATGAGTTTTAAATGATCTAGATATGAAAATAGAGAATAGTGTGAAAATATACGAAGATAATCTTAGTGCAATTAGGCTTGGCTAAAAATGGTAAATTTTCCAAGACCTCTAAGCACATTGACATTAGCTATCATTTTGTGTATGATTATGAGAAGAAAGGTCTCATCAGTGTACAAAAGATTTCTTCGGAAGATCAGGTTGCTAACATACTGACTAAAGCTCTGTGTAAATAAAATGTTTGAAGTTTAGAGAATTGTTATGTATTAATGTTCAATAGGTTAACGTAAAAGTTATATTAAGGTACTTTCTGTTAATGCGTTTTTCCAATTATGAGATACTGAATCAAGGAGGAATGGAAATATGATTGTTTCTCAAAAGCTATGTTCCGAAGTTTTTAAAGAAAGTGAGGTTTACTTTATGTTCTAGTTTGTTTCACGTTTGTTTTTTGTTTTTTGTCTTTGGGGATAGTGTCTGATTCTAGAACTCTACTCAATGCTCAAGTCAGGATTTGAGTACGGTTTCAAGCGCTCGAAATCATACTCAAGTCCCTGCCATTAGGGTCGTATTTCCAGTGCTTGTGTTTCCAGTGCAATCGGGGCAAAAAAGGGTCGTATTCCAGAACTCTACTCAATACTCAAGTCAGTACTTGAGTATTGCAGTGAGAACTGAAAATCATACTCAAGTCCTTGCCATTAGGGTCGTATTTCCAGTGCTTGAAATCATACTCAAGTCTGCTCAAATCCTGACTTGAGTATTGAGTAGAGTTCTGGAATACGACCCTAAGATGTAAAATGGTGTTGAATTAAAAACTATTTAGAAATGTAACGCATTATTTTAACAAAAACGACTGCGACATATTGACAGAGTCTGCCCCAAATAAAAAGTTCCTTGTTTGATTACGTAAATGCTCTGAACGTAATCCCAATAAAAAGGCTATAGCTATTACGCAGGTGCAGGTTAGAACTAGGCACTAAGGTGAGGTGTTCTATGTAAGAATAAATACTAACAACGTAGCGCCAACATCCGCTTCCAAAGCGCCGGCTTCCTCAAGGGTGTCGGGAATAACCTCTTGTTCATCCTCGCCAGACATACTATGTCAAAAAATAAAAGTTTAACCAAAATACAAACGAAACTAAAATTGTTACGATACGAAAATAATTATATACGATTCAGCGTTGAGTATTTTGTGCACACTTTCAAGTTTGACTGATGTAAAATTGTCATTTGTCTAATCTTATTATTATTATTATTTCGTATAACGACGGCGGCCACTACACAAGCCAGTTAGCTGAACAACGAAACGAAATAAAACAACTTTATAAAGTTAAAAAGAAATGGTATCAGCGCCACCTATTCATCAAATTATGTACTACTTGGTTAAGTGGAGGACTAGCGATGACAGTAGAATCCGCCCATTTTGTGCGTTTGAATACTGTATTACTCTTGCCTACGTGATTAATTGCATATTTTATAATAAATTAGATACATTTAAAATTTTCTTCAATTATCAGTTCTTTTATAAATGACGTAAATGTAATTTATTCAGTTTCTCGTAATTTTTATTGAATGTTCTCGAAAATTATGTTCTGGTTGTGGCGATGACTCATCTTATTCTTCGTAATTTCAAAACGCACTGCACTCCTCGATGGAAGGGTGAGTGAACCATCTCATTGTTATTTATTGCATTTGCCTCGAATATTACGTTAATTAGCCGTTTTAGTGGTAACGGGAGTGCAATAACATAGATCGGGACAGCCATGCCGATTTGAATAATCCTCGGGATCGAGGTGTGGCATTGCCAAGTATTTCAGTGCAACAGTGTTCAGTGATTTGGTGAAAAAATATTCTGCCTATCTCGCAAGATGACCGAGTACAAGTTGGTGGTGGTAGGCGCCGGAGGCGTGGGTAAATCCGCATTGACTATACAACTGATACAGAACCATTTTGTGGACGAATACGACCCTACGATAGAGGATTCGTATAGAAAGCAGGTGGTGATTGATGGTGAAACGTGTTTGCTGGATATTTTGGATACGGCGGGGCAGGAGGAGTACTCGGCGATGAGGGATCAGTATATGCGCACGGGGGAGGGATTCCTCTTGGTGTTCGCGGTGAACAGTGCAAAAAGTTTCGAGGACATTGGAACGTACCGCGAGCAGATCAAACGCGTCAAGGACGCCGAGGAGGTGCCCATGGTGCTGGTGGGCAACAAGTGCGACCTACAGGCGTGGGCCGTTGACATGAACCAGGCCAGAGAGGTCAGTACCAATCACATTGAAGTAAATATTGTAACAGTCTTGCATACCTTTTCTGGAAGGTTGGCTTCTATAACTAGGTTCTTATGCCTACCTCTCTTGTACACTCAGTTTTGCTCAATTTATACAATATTGTTATCATAAACTGAAGAACGCATAAATGCTGAAGAGCGTTATTGAAAATAAACCTGTAGTTTCTGAACAATTAAGTTGAATGCAAAATGCAGGCACATTTCTGCAGAACAGAGATTCTATTCTTATTGGTGGCATTAACACAAAGCAAAATGCCTTATGTCATTAAACTGTGAGTACTAGCAAACAGTTGAAGTAAACCAGTGTAATGGTGTTGCCGTGTGAAAGGTTTCATATTTTTTTAATCACTTATGTTGTGAAGCCGAGCCGTTTTGATAAGTTAATTATCCCATTGTAATTTAGCTTCATGTCTAAAGTTATTACCTAGAAATGCAACTGTATCAACAAGGTTCAATTTTTCATTTCTAACCGTTGACTTACAATTATATGGACGTCGGGTCCACGCTAAAAAGTGTCTGGACTTAAAGGGCGTTAAAATCGTATACAGAGCGTCATTAACGCTTTAGTCTTCGTTTGTTCGACTGACAGCGAAGCAAGCAAAATTAGACAGTACTGCGATGGCATTACAATTTAAATCTAACGTTTTAGCTTTTTCATATTCCTTTACATGTCACTACGTTTAAATAGGTTGACTTGGGACATTTCGTTTTGTGGTTTTTGTATTAGACCCGTCATCCATTTATTTGTAAGTGAATGTTTCTAACTATAATGTTTGTGACCGGCCATTTAAAATTTCACACGCTTTGGTTTTTTTTTCATTACAGAGCAGGTTATTAACTGCAAACCAATGTACTGCTTTAGATATAGCATTTTTTACATCATCATTGATGCCTTGTAACCTTAAATAATAATATTCACACTCAACATAGCCCCGCACTTGGGAAACCCTGTGTCGCGGGTGGTATGGACAACCACAAATTACACCCAAAGTCACAAGAGAAATAAATGTAGGCCATACAAATATTTCTCCCAGCCTGGAAATCGAACCTGAGACTTCTGCGTGGCAGTCATGGTAACCGTTCGGCCATGGAGGCAGTTGAGTAAAGATAAAGATGCATCATCAGCAAATAATACTATCTCACGTTCTTTACTCTCCGAGAGGCTAGGTAAGTCATTAATATACACTAATAACAAACATGAACCTGAGTTCATGAAAAAACATGATTTCATGAATAATCTTTTTTGAGGTGACTGGCTGAACATACATGGTAAAGGGATTAACATCTATACTATTTTATTTCATTTTTAGTTCAGACCATTGCACACTCAATACAGATTCTATAAAAAAATTATTAAAGCCAGTAGCATTTTCATTGCGGATCAGCTATAGTTATTTCATTAACCTTAACAGACTTTATTGTTTGTGGCAAGTTACTTTTCACACCTATATATTTTTTTATTATATTCCATGAAGCTTTGCACTTATTTTTCGCACTAATAATGCTATTATAAAATTCTGATATGCCAGTACAATGTACCAGACATACAACAACATAAAACATCCTTTAAAGTAAATGCGAACCATCATGGTCACCATATCAAACTAGTTTGTGCTCCTTCCAAATATTATTTAGAATACAATAGAAGAGAAACATTTTTCTTATATTCCATTGATAGATTGATTGGTCATGTCTACCGTAAAGTATATATGCATATGTATATAAGCTGATGTGCACCTGCTCATTCCTCACGATACCCAGCCACCTGTCTGTTGGCGGTGCACTCAAGCAAAGGGCAGTCCTTTTGGTCCACAGCAGACTTTATTTGATCATACTATCGCATGGCTGCTCTTCCATGCTAGAGCCTTTTACTCCACATCTGCTTCACCTTCTAGAACAGTATTAATTAGCAAGAAAATATTTTTGTGGGACAGTTAAAGATTGATGTCACTTCTTTTTCTCTCTTTTTGTTATTTAACATTGTTGGTAAGTTATTTGTGTATTTGGGTCATACTCAAAATTAGTGTCGGAAAAAAGAAAAAAAAATTGTTTTTTTTTATTATTTTTTTTATTATGGATGGTAAATATTACGTAAAAATAGCGGTTTCGTTAGTTTCGTCAAGCTTAAAGACCTTCAGAAGTAGCTGAAAAGATGAGTTAAAATCACGGTTGTGACATTACAGACATGGGAGTGACGTGTGTGTTGTTGTATGTTTGTAATAAACAAAAGTTGATTTTATTTTTATATTGGCTACTGGGTCCACCACTCGCAATACGTAGAACAGTAACATTCTGGTTGGTAATTAAATGAGCCAATGCTTTTTTTTAAGTGTGCGTAAATTGTTAAGCAAAAAAAAAAGTGTGTAACTTGTGCTTCGTACAGTTGAAGCAACTGTCCCAGGGTGAAGTCCCTGTCTACCGACCCGAGAGATAGGGTATTCCGGAGAGACTACGAGCTCCCCGGCAAGATCAATGTGCAGCGGGCGTCCGGGTCGAGCCCTCGGATAGTGATACGCCTTCAAGAGCGTCTATGGTGGACCCGGACTTAGGTAGGGACTCGCTGAGATTTGTGGTGAGCTGCAGAGATGGACATGTTCGTCTGCCCCGGTGGTGTGTGGCCGGGGCGTCTGTCTAGTGCGCAGCTAGCGCGTCTTAGTAGCGGTCTAGGCGAGGACGTACGTCGAGGAAACGCGCGGGACGCTTGAGTTGCCCTATAAGTCGGAAGCTCTGTCCAAACATGGTCGCAGGACACTACGACTGTCGTCTCCGGCACTAGCCCGGAGAGCTAGCTAGTAGAGGATGAGCTAGATATCCTCCGGTCTCTCCAGCTGCTTAGGTTGTTGGGAACTGGAGAGACCCCGTTTTTCAGCATCGGGAAGTGAGGATGAATCTTCTCATTGTTAGAGTAAGGTACAGCTCCGCCATCAAGGAAAAGATTTTGTAGTGGACTTTAGAGTCGACGGTTTAGGTGGCAACCGATAGTTGTGCAATGTGCGACGGGAAGTGAGCGTGCCTACAACTCCGGTCTAGAAAATAGGGAGGGTACTGTACGCTCACCCGGGGCTACTCACACGAGGCACTAGCCTCAGCAGAACCGGATGAAGTCAGTAACAACGATCTGTGACAACCCTGTACACTTGTTGATCTGGAGTCAGATATATATACCCAAGAGATATATATATCTAAAGGGTCGGTAGGGAGTAGACATAAGCGCCGCACCGCCGCCGTCGCGTTTTTCCTCGCGCCGCCGCCGCCGGCAAATGCAATCGGCGCGCCGTTCAGTTTGATCAGGTGCTCCGATCGTACGCACGCGCACGCTTCCGTAGTGTGTATGTGAAAATGGCGACCCCAGAAAATTACTTTTCTAAAATAAAACTTTTTTTTTTTTAATAAAATGTAAGTTCACATTTGAATTCCATCTCACCTGATGGAAAGTGATGATGAGGTCGACGATGGATGAATGCCTATTCACTTTCGCCATGAAAAGACTCAACTTATAACGTTCAGGGAACAAGACTGCAGGCAGGGATTCCACTCCATAGCCGTTCGCCATATAAATGTGTAAGCCTAACGCTTCGTGCGAATCTTTGGAATATCCACAACATAGAGGTGGAACCCAAGTCTACACCCTATATAAATTTTAACTATTTTTTTCGGGAAGTGAGTAATTCGTTTTTCGTTGATTCTGAGAAAGTCCTCTTTTTTAATTAATTCACTATTGTATTAACAAAGCGATATGTTCGGAAAAGTAGCCTTCTAAGACCTCTCAAATCGAACGTTCGCTCAAGAAATCTGAGATCCAATTGCAAAGTGGGAAGCCCATAAAAGGGAAGCTTACTTAAAAGGTTTGCGTGCCAGACCCTGTCAAAGGCTTTAGAAATGTCCAAAGATACTTAAGTGCTTCACCTTGCTTTTCTATAGCCTCGCTCCATATGTGACAGGCATACACAAGAAGGTCCCTAGTTGATCGCCCTCGTCGGAATCCATACTGGCGATCACTGAGGAGGTCGTTGTCTTCAAGGTTGTCGTACCTTGAGAGACGGTTGTTGAGTACACGTTCCATAGTGTTGCAGAGTATGGAAGTGACTGAGATTGGTCTATAGTTGACAGAGTCAACTCTGCTTCCCTTTTTCGGCACAGGTTGCACATTTGCAAGCGTCTACGACCTGGGAACTAGACCAGTCTTAAGTGAGAGGCGGTACAGGCGTAGGCGTGTGAGCACAGGAGACAACTCAGGCGCACAGTTACGTAGGACTAGTGCTGAAATTCCATCTGGCCCGCTAGCTTTATTCACGTCCAGAGATCTAAGTACCTCTTTTTGGTGTATGCGAATTTGCGCCATAGTGCAGCCAGCCCGAGGTAAGATGAGATCCAGACGCGGACTCTTTGCAAAGATTGAGGCAAACAGATTTGCCTTGTCTTCTGCAGTATAGGATTTAAAGATGTTTTGTTTAAAAAATTAATTTGTAAATTTCTGGCGTCGCCATTTACACTACGCATACACAATATGGAAGCGTGCGCGTGCGTACGATCGGAGCGCCTGATCGAACTGTTAAAAATTTAATTACTATAGAAAATACGTTATTTTATTTTTTCCTTTGAAAAAGTATTTGTATCGGTTTTTGTAAAAACAAACACCAATATACAAATTCGTTTTAGGGTCGCGCTCGCGGCGCCGAAACGCCGCCGCCGCCGACACATTTTTGTCGGCGCGCCGCCGCCGGTTGGTCTATTATCGGCGCTCATGTCTAGTAGCGAGGGTCCCTATAGTCAAAGTTAATGGAGAAAGATATGGGGCTGTCCCAGTGTGAAGTATCGCCTCGCCTTTGAAAGGATGCCAAGCTTCATGACTGCATTTTTGGCCATGGATGCAATGAGGAAAAAGATTTTAAACTTAGTATTTAGAAATGCAAGGCACCACACGCGATAGTGAGGCTCCTGCCTCAAAGCATAGACTTTTATGCCTATAAA